AAGATACTAAATGAGGTTTATATTTTAGAACAATTGTAAGTTTGGTGAATTTGTTTGCAGAAGTTGTTGCGGTACTTAAATATGTAAAAGAGGAGGGGTCTACTTTATCTAACCGTAATCAAGCAAAGGGTATTTTGTCATATTTCTAGACACTTGATTTCGTGTTTCTTTTACACTTGATGTTGGAAATTCTATGCCTCACGGATACCTTGTCAAAGCATCTTCACAAAAAGATGAAAATATTTTTGGAAGCGGCTTCGTTAGTAAAAGGGACAAAGAAAACATTGCTAGTTTTTAGAAAAGATGAGTTTCCACAAAAAGGGACAAAGAAAGCATAATATTGGAATTGTGGACATGTGAGAATATTATGTTACCCCACGCAAGCGTAGGACCAATAAGACTAATCAACATCATTTTGAAGTTGTGATTTTTAACACAATTTTATATATGCAAATTCAAGAATTTGGGGATAGATTTAGTGAAGTTGGCACGGAGTTGATGGAGAACATGGCGGCATTGATTCCTTGTGACTCATTTTCTAATTTTGATAAAGCAAAGTTGTTAAAGCTAAGCGAGATATACAAAAACGATTTTGACAATTCAGAAAGGGCGCAACTTAATGGACAACTTGATATCTATTATCACTCTTTGCTCCATGATGAGAGATTTTTCAACTTGAAGGGAATTGCAGACCTCTCTCGTTTGTTGGTGGAAACCGGGAAGCACCTCTCTTTTCCTTTGGTTTATAGATTATTAAAACTAGCTTTGGTTTTGCCCGTCGCAACCGCAACCGTTGAATGGTGTTTTTCTGCAATGAAGTTCTTGAAGACTGATTTGCATAATAGAATAGGTGACGACTTTATGAATGGTGCTTTGATTTGTAGTGTAGAAAAGGAAGCACTAGAGAATGTTAAGACTGAAAATGTAATTACTCGCTTTCGTAAAATGAAAGATCAAAGAGGTGAACTTTAAAATGTAATTTTGTTATGGAAGTTGAACTTTATATCTAATGAAATTGCGGTTTTTTTTTTCTTATTGTATATTACACAAAAAAAAATTTGGATACCCCTTTAGTTTGACCCTGGCTCCGCCACTGCTTACATGTGATTATATGTATGATGTGTCTAATCACATATGATTTATATTAAAAAGATTCATTTTCGCAATTTCTATTCAATAATTTTTTTTATGGATTTAATCATATGTGATTATATTTATTCAATCACATATGATTAATTTGGACAAAGAACAACTATTAAATCAAGAATGCGAAAACGAATCTTGCGCATATAAATCATATGTGATTAAATATATATAATCACATGTGATTAAATATATATAATCACATGTGATTAAATACGTATAATCATATGTGATAAAATACATATAATTTATTTTTCGCAAATTTATTTAATCACATATGATTTATATGGACAAAATTCATTTTTGTGTACTAAATTAAATAGATGTGCTCGTGTACTTAATAATATGTGCTCGTGTACTTAATCATATGTACTAAATCCAACCACAAAATATTTATATGGACAAAATTCGTTTTCGCATTTTCCATCCAATAATTTTTTTCATGTATTTAATCATATCTGATTATATATTTAATCACATATGATTAATATGGACAAAGATTTGTTTTCATGTTTTTGATTTAATAGTTGTTCTCGTGTATATAATCACATGTTGATTATATGTATCTAATCACATATGATTTATATACACAAGATTTGTTTTCGCGTTATCGATTCAATAGTTATTCTAGTGTATTTAATCACATGTGACTATATATATTTAATCAAGTCTTATTTATGTAGAAAAAGTTTGTTTTCACATTCTCGAATCAATACTTATTCTCGTGTATTTAATTACATGTGATTATATGTATTAATCACATATGATTTTATATATATATATATATATATATATATATATATATATATATATATATATATATATATATATATATATATATGTCTTTTAAAGATGCAAAATGTTGTAGAAACATTGTTTTCTATTTATAAAATGAATGCTTATGAACTAATGTTATCTTTAATCTATATAATTTTTTTTATCTATTTTCTAAAATTTAAATAAGTCAAACAATTAAATCAATGAATTAGATATAATGATTAATAATGGATCGAAAATGAACTACAACCCAAATAAAACCCATTACAATTAGTCTAAAGCTTAACTTTATTATCAACTTCAGCCCAAATAAAATACTTAACCTAACTATTAGTGTGAAGAAACAAAATAACAGCGGTCTAACCTTACCACACGTAGTCACGCATCCAAAAAAATGATGTTTCATCCAAATATCCGGCGACATGTTCCTCTCCGGTGGCTTCCTCCTCACACTAATATTTCCTCCTCGATGAAGCCTCCTGCTCAAATCCATGTCGCAACAACAATACAATTTCAAGAAAGCAGAAAATGATGAAGCTGGAGACTCAAACACTCCACGAATTTCTTTAGCTCAACGGTCTTATACAACTTCTTGACTTCCTTTGCACCTCCGACATACCAACAGCCGATTAAAACCCTAGGTCACACCTCCATTCCATGTTGTCTTCACTATATGCTCTGTTATTCGATTTGAGCTGCCTGACCTCCAACGAAGCCTTCTGTTATCTTTTTATAAAATTGATTTTGTTTGCTTACCGGTTACCTCTATTTGTATCTGATCGTAAACGAAATCTATAGTTTATTACCTCTAATGTTGCAACGGTAGGTGGCCGGTGAAACGAGATCTGGAACCAAGTTGAGAGTGAAGGTCAGAGATGAAAGGTCTTTCTCGGTGAGCTATTGTCGGAGGTTGGAGGACTCTAATTCTAGATCGGGAAACAAGATCTTATAACAGATTAAACCAAATCTGAAAACACGATCTTATGGCCTGTAAAATGAGATCCGGTGACAGTTTAAGAAGAGGAAGGGCGGAGAATGTGGTTTTCGACGGTTGAAGGGAGACAGAGGCGGCGAACAAGCAAATTCGTAAGGAGTGAAGAGGCGGTCGGACGACGGTTCTGGCGACATTACGGTGGTTCCGGCGATGGTCCTGGTCGGACGACGGTTCTGACCATTATGATCGGATGTAACCTGCTACAACAGGTCATAGTAGTCATATGTGAACATTTTCAAAAAGTTTGTTATCAAGATTTGTATAAAGAAAAATAGTTACCAAAATGTGAATAAACCGAAAAATTAATTATCTTAATAAGTCATATACCCTACTAATAATAATAATAATACACGACAAAATTGCAAAAATTGTCCCTGTGGTTGGCAAAATTATGTGGATTTAGTCCAAAGTGAAATGTTGGTGCACCACTGGTCCAAATTGGATCTTTTTATTGTTTTTGGTCCCTATACACTTAAAATGACCTTAATGCCCCTTATATTTGTTTTTTAATTTTTTGTATATATAAATGTTTTTAATTAATTTAAAATGAGAAAAATGCCCACCCACCTCTCTCTCTCTCTCGGTTTGTATTTGATGAAAACTCAAGAACACAAAACCCATCTCTATCGACTGGCACCACCATCACCAGCGACTGCCGCCACCATCACCACCGATTGACGCTACCGTTCGCCACCATTAACACCGACTGTCACGACTTTCTCTTTCATCATCTCTTTACAACTTCCACCTCCCCTCGCATGTACCCTTCCCACTGCTGGATTCAACCTCTATACTTCTCAATGAAAAAAAAACACCTCTCTCTCTCCAGCGAAAAGCTTTGACCCACTAGAAGTCCTTTATCAGAACCACCAGCACCACAATCTTCTCCGACTACTTCTACCTTTTCAGAACACCACCCTCACCTCCTTTCGAAGAAAAGCTCTGAAATCCATAACTGCAACTCGAATCTCGCTGGGGGTATTGTTCATCACCACACCCATCCATTATTCGCCACACCATTTGTTCACTGCTTGCCTCCATCCATTTGCAACCACGCCTCTCCTTCTTAGATCTGAAACCCAAATATCGTCGGACCTATCGTCGGATCTAGAGTTTTCAGATCTCTTTGTGGCCGAAGGATTGAGATTTTTCTAGTGCAGGTTTGAACCTTTGATGGAATAAGGTTGTGCAGGTGCTGGAATGGAGCTTAATGAAATTAGGGCTCATAAGTCCATGTCTCTTGTTTTAATCAGGATAAAGAGGGGACGAACAAAGCATTCGAACGAGGCGATTTGAAAAGAACATGAGGGCTCGTTGTGTTCATTGTGAGGAAGAAGGGAAACAAGGCAGAGGTCCTTCTGTCGAGAGGGATGAAGCATTTCTTTGAGATCAGTGACCCTTCGTGGGTTTTTCTTCCTCGTCTTCGGCAACGATCTGAGAGACGCAAAGGAGCAGAATCCCCGACCTTGGGTCACTTGAAGAAAGAAGAACGGAGGCAGCATCTAACGATGAAACTCGAAGGAAGGTGGACAGAAGAATGGTCCGGTGGAACAAGGCAAGCAGGTGGGGTTTCAGTGGAGTTTGCTCGATAGGAGGAGAAGAGAAGTACGAGAGATGAGGCTGTTGTCTTGATGGCTCACCGACGCACCACCACAGCCCATGGTTCATGGCAGATAAAGATTTAGAGAGAGAGATAGCGAGAGAGAGTATGTGTGGTGAGTTTATTTTGCTTTTGTTTTTTTATTTTATTATAAGAATAAGAAAATAATTAAAAGAAAATAAAATATAGTTATTTAAGGGGCATATTAGTCATTTTAGGTGGGATGTGGACAAAAAACACAAGAAAATACAACCATAGGGACCAAAACCACACAAGGTATCTAAAATTGGACCAGTGGTGCACCAACATTTCATTTTGGACCAAAACTACATAATTTTGCCAACCACAAAGAACATTTTTACAATTTTGTCATAATACACGGTAAAATAGTAACTTTAGATCAGTTTAATAAAAGAAACTCTAGTCTTTACAAAAATAATAAAGTAATTTAAAAATAATAAAATAAGCAATATTGTAAAATAATAATATCTTTTATTATATAATGAAACTCATACAAAATGACTTTGGTATTACAAAGATTGTTTTCATTTTTTTATATAGGGACTACGGGTACATAGATGGCCTTGCTACCTCATTTTATTGCATCTAAAAGACTAAAAGTAAAACTAATAAGAAAAGCATCCAATTCATGTATAGAACTGAGTCTTTGAAATCAAATCAAAGGAAACACCATTCTCCTGTAGTCGATCTTGAAGATGAGTGGGGCCAAAAACGATTCCAGGAGTTAAGATGCCGCCTTTCGGAAGATCTCCCCGTCGTTCCAAAATAATCAACGCACACTGAACCAGAATGATCGAAGTTGTGAGATACCCAACGTCAGGCCCCGTCACCCTCGTAATAATTTCTGTATCAGGCGTTGCGTTTCTCTGAGAAGCAAGATTCGCATCACTGAATCCATGGCCGACGAACCACATTTTAAAACTAGCACTCTCCAATTCCTCTTTGGTTGGACCCTTCTTCCTAAAAACTCCAAGACTGAAAACTGAAGGGAATGTCAACAGAAACCACCTACCCAGAGAGGATCCGCACAACCGCATAAGCGACAACCCAATTGCGATCCATGGTAGGAGACCCAGAAGCTTCTTACTGCCAATCTTTACTCCGAAATGAGCAGGTTTTACTATGGACCAAAATGCGATTCTTTTATCTGCCACTTTAGGATCCTCATTCACTCCATGAAGACCAGTGGGATTTTCTGTAAGGATCGAGAGTGTTCTGCGAACAACAGTGGCATCGGCGGATGCGAGATTCAGGGCCCAAAGTCCGAGCTTTTTCTGGTATTCTATGATCGATCCTTTTGTAGGAGCATAACCAGGAATCTGAGAAAAAAAATTGCAAGAGCAGAGTATAAATAAATACACAAAACGATGACTTCTGTATCATTATCATACCGAAGGTCGAGCTCTTCTGCGTCCTGATCGTCGCAACTTGATGAGGTTATCAGCATTAGCGAACCCCAAAACTGCAGATTCATACGTGGCAAAATTTCCAACCATCCTTTTATCAGATTCAAGTTGTAGATAGGCTTGAACCCGATTAGGAGCTGCCGGCGAAACCCATTGCCTGGAATTGAACATGAACCCGAATTCAGCTGGAATAGAATCAAACCCACAAGCTGAAATCACCAAGCTGCCGGTCTCCACCGCCTTCTCATGGTAAACGGCCTCTATCCTCTCCATGAACTCCGGCTCACCACAAATATCTAAATAATCACATCCGGCTTCAACACAGGCATCGACGACCGGGTCACCGTGAAGTCGAAAAGGGCCAACGCAGTTAAGGACAAGCTTAGCTTGGGAAGCCATGCGGCGGAGAGAGGATGTGTCAGAGGTGTCAGCAACGAGGAGGGGGAGGGTGGGGGGAGATTTGGAAGCCCATTTTAGTGTTTCGGAGAGTTTTGAAAGGTTCCGACCGGCTAAGGCAAGTGATTTGAGCGGCGAATTCGGTGAAAGAAACTTGAGAGCTTCTCTAACTACGTGCTTGCCTGTGAAACCAGATGCTCCGAAGATGACGATATCATAGGTGGTCATTTGAATTTCTGCCATTGTATATGTAGATATTAAGATCGAAAACGTTAATATATAAGGTTCTATGGTGTAGTGGTTAGCACTCTGGACTTTGAATCCAGCGACCTGGGTTCGACTCCCGGTAGGACCTTTTTTTCGTTTTTATCTTTCTTTTATTTAGTTATTTATTATCCTTATTAAGGAACCTTTTCGTTGACTATTATGAGCATATGTGATTGCCCTTTTACTTATGTGGATGTAGGTATTGGATTTTTTTATTTCTTTCTTTTATTTATTTATTATTATTAAGGAACCTTTTTGTTGACTATTATGACCATATGTGATTTCCCTTTTACTTATATGGATGTAGGTATTGAAATGAGTATTATTATGAGTGCATTAAGTAAATGTGGGCATTAAAAATAGTATCATACTAAGCAAGTAAGCATATATGATTTGACTTATGTAGACGTAGGCATTGAAATGAGTATTATTATGAGTGCATCGAGTAAAAGTAGGCATTCAAAAAATGAAAAAAGTATAATATGAGCATATTTGATTTGTCTTGGTTTTTTAGTATTTATATGAGATACTTATTTGATACACCATCATGGCATAAGGACATCTTCAAATATCATTTTTATATCATTTTACTTTGACACAAAATATATTTTTCTCATCTCCAAATGTCATTTTTAATGAGCATAATGTATTTGACTTTATTTTCATAGGTTGATTCAATATATCGATTTGATTTCCCTTATGTAAATGTATGTATTAAAATGAGTATTATTATGAGAGTGCATCAAATAGCATATGAGATTTGACTTTGTTTTATAGTATTCATATGAGACGGTTCGTACATGACATAAGAATATTTCTAAATACATTTTTTTTTATATTATCTTTTGTATCATTTTACTCTTGCACAAAATCATTTGTTGCATCAAAATAGTATAAATAAATGAACAAAATAACACTACATATTTGATGTTGTATTATTCTATTAAGCCATTTTGGTGTTAAACTTCCATCAATATATTTTTGTTCAAGTTTGAGCTTATATATCTCTAACTAATTTAATTGTATTATTATATTTTAAATATAATATTTTTTATTTGCAATATTATGTGATATAGTAAAATGATATTGATTTATTATATTTATTGATATTGGTTAATAATATAATTGATAAAGTTACTATAATAAGTGTACGGAAAATTTGAGGCTAGCTCATACAGCTAATAAGGTGTTTAATTAGGAATTTCTAACCAGAAGGTTATGGATTCAATCTCAGACATATACTAACATCGCCGTTCAAAAAAATATATAGAAAATTTGCAAAAAAATAAATAATAGATATAATGAAAATTTTGTTAAAAACTGTATAAATTAGAAATATATGTGTATACTTGGTATATATTAATTTTAGTGTAAATTGGTGTAATGTAATATATATAAATAATTATTTGCACAACCCAGATTAATTTCATCAAACAAACTAAGGGTTGAATTGGTAGGAAACCAATTCGTTTTTCCTTCAACCATGTACTGTACCAATTATAACCGGTATAAAAAAAAGCTATCAGTACCGTACCAAATAATATATTTGACCACCAACAGGTTTGGTTGGTACAAATTGGTAATGGTATATACCAACTTCTTTTAATTTTTTATTGTAAGATTTAAAAATAAGCAAAAATATCGTGTAATTTTGACGTTTAGTAAAGAAATTAGTTATACAGTTCTTTTAATTAACAAAAAAATTCTTTTAAAGTAAGGTTTTAATTTAGTGGTTTAACGTGGTAATAACTATTGACTAATGTATATAATGTTCACAATTAACAATTGAAATATACGATTTCGTTTATATATATATATATATATATATATATATATATATATATATATATATATATATATAGTGTAAACATAGTGTTTTTACTATGTTTATATATATATATATATATATATATATATATATATATATATATATATATAAACTGGTGATTAGTATCGGGCTAAAAATTAGTTTCGTTTTCGCGTTCGTCAAATCGTTTTCTTTCGGTGTATCTTCCTTTTCGTCAAAGCGTATCTCTTTGGTTTCTAAAGCCTTCCGATTTTAGATTTTAGGAGTAACAGATTCTTTCGAGAATACATATATGGTTATCATACACATTTAGCAAGGCTTGCTATAAAATGATTTTCTCATACTCGTGTCATTGAGTAAAGTTGTTTCAGGAAATAGTTTCTGCTGTGAAGTTGGTTTTCTTTCGGCACGAAGTGGATAATAGTAAGCGTGTATTGTTGTTTTGGTTTGAAAATAAAAATATGTTCTTTTGTTTTAAAAATAAATTAAAATTGTTGTTTTAGTTTAAAAATATAGGTAAACGGGAGGATGGTTGGAATAATGATTTTAAAGATGGTAAAATTCATATTTGATCATGTTTTTTTACTGGACCCCTAAACCAAATTGTGTACTTAGGTCTGCTTCGCACCAAGACTTGTTTCATTTTGTTGCTTGGCGGAGACAAATTGTTTCTTCCAACGAATGGTTCCCAATGGCCATTTTCTATCTACATGATATTTTCAGTTAAAATAGAAACACGTTTCATTTTGACGTAAAAATAAAAATAACATAATTTCCATTATAATATAAAATATGTTGTTTCAAATAGATATGAAAATGCATCACCTATTTATCCATCTACTATATTTCCTCATACACCTTATTTTAATTGATTAATGTAATTATACATAAGTTGCCGACACCGATAACTTCTGAAATTAATTAAATACAACAAATTTAATATACACAAGAAAACTATATTTATTATTATTATAAATTATTAAGTTATACAGAAAGTAAGATCTACAATGTTTTTAATACATATCATTTTCTATTTTATTATTTTCAGGCATAAATACCATAAATGAACAAAATAATAAAAACATATGGCTATAATATTAAAAAAACATAAAAATATAAAGCATCCGGATATGAACTCTAACACCAACAAATACTGTTAAATTTTGATTAGAAATGGTAATCAAGTACGATTTATGTACGATATAAAAAAGGGTCTAGGCATAATCTTCTTCTTGTTCACTTTTAGTATTTGAGCTCTATCATTGATATATGGGAGTGTTTACCCTTGTCTGTGTGGGTTTAAAAACTTTTTTTTGATTGGTTCTAAGCACCTCACGAGGATCACCAAAACTATAATCCTTACCGTCCGATGTAGATCCAACGTTTCAGAAATTATAAAATACTTGACTTTCATTGGTTTAAATCTATTGACATGGATCACTATCCTAACCATTCAAAATAAATCTAAATGCCAAAAATTCATCTCCTTGTTTTTAAGACTTTGGTCTTAAAATATGTATTATCTATGTATTATAAAGTAGTATATATATATATATATATATTGATTGGTACGATATTATTATGGTATTCAATTATCGTACCAAGATTGTTTTATTGGTACGGTACTACCAATCAAACATGTTGGCTACCAAATATATAGACTACCAACTTTCTTGGTTCGGTTGGTAACATGTTGGTTGGTTTTCCGTGGTACAATTTTGACAGCCCTAAAACAAACCATCATCCTCACCTTTTTCATACTCACTATCATCATCTTCCATTGGGCAATCATCAAAGAAACCATCATCCTCATACTCTTCATATTCACTATCATCATCTTCCTCATCATTTTAATCATAACTCAAATTAATTGGATCATTTTTTAAATCAAACCCAATACATCTTCCTCATAATAGTTATTGTACATAAAAAGTGTGACCATCATTATTATGTCCATGAGCCATGCATTTCTTAAAATCTAAATCACACATCGGTAACTTCAAGCTTCTTGCCAATGTTGAATTTCCAATAGAGTAATGAAGGTTTTTGACTAAGCGGTTGCTCAAAGCCTCATACTACAAGGTTCGTTAGTAAGTCGGGTGCTCCATTTGTTCAATGTGCATCATTAATCCCTATACACATACCCCCTTCCCCACGTAATGTAATGGTTTGGCACACCCCTCCCCTCTCCATTGTAGTTAACTTTGACACTTTACACTTTTTTCAAAATCAACACTTAATATTTCAAAATCAAAGGTTAAGTAAGTTGTTTTAGCAAAGTTACGTACCTTTCTTCCAACTTGCAGTGTTGATTTTAGTCTTCAGTTTACCCGTTATGCTTATGAGTGAACATGTTATGAACTTAAAGAGTGAAAGACTGTTGTTTAATATTTTTTTGAAACCCCTCCCATATGATGATGTCTCAATAAGTTATATGAGTTTCCACGTACAGGAAACTAGGTATAACCGCTCATAGTGACATTTTGGTTAAAAGTATCAAGTTAAATGACATTTAAAACCTAAATCAAGTTAACTGACCAAATAAACATAAATTCAAAAGTTAAAATATCAGATGTGAATTTTAATCTTTTTAGTTATCAAACTATAGTTAATTGAATTCGTGTATCACTCATTTTTGATAGCTTTCAACATAGCTGGTATATTCTAAAGAATACTAAATTTCATCAAATCAATGATATGAAGCCAAAATATGATAGAAATTTCAAGACTTATCGTTTAGTTTGTTATTTATCGAACTTATTGGAAAAATAACTTAATTAAAAAAAAGATTCTTTTTAATTTAGTAGAATAAACATGACTTAATCGGGAAAATCATGCAAATGATATTTTTCTGTTTCTGAAGGCATATAAGTTTTCGTATACTTACATTTACCAAATAAAAATGTACGAGATTTATTTTTCTCTCAATAAATACCTGCACATATTTTTTATTCTTATTGGTTTTTATTTCCCACCTACTCCTAAGTGAACTTAATAATAAAAAGGAAGCAAACAGACCCCTACCAGGTGAGTTAGTTAAAACGTTCTAAATTGAAGAGCTACATGATAGGCTCTAGAACTCATAAAGAGAATCAAACAAAATTTGTAGTTCCATATTTCAACATTTGATGATAACAAATATAAGTATATCTTTTTTGAACGAATTTAAAAACAATAAAAAAAATCAAAATTGTAGAATTGTATTGAATT